TCTTTAGATAATTATTAAATGCTAAAAATAAGATAGCAGTTCCAGGACAATAAAATCTATAATTTACATGTGGAAAACAAACAAACAAACAAACAAACAAACAAAAAACAGTTACAATGGATACATGAAGCCATCTTATATCAACAGCCAGTCAGTCCCAGCGCTAACAGCACTTGCCATTTCCCAATGCCTAAGGAAATTCCTGGCTGTAGAAGTCACAGAAATCACAACTTTAGAAGTCAGAGAGCAGCTGAAGAGGTACCACACTGGGAAGCTGGGCCAGGTCGGGCAGGTGCCTGGTGCCCGATCCATGGAGCACGGCAGCCAGGCGAGCACAGAGGATCAGCACGGTGCTTCCAGCCTGCTACACTCACCGCCCACCAAGTGAGGCACATTCCCTGCCATTAATTGCAAACCCAGGGCAGGCTCTAGGCTGTCAGCTTCACAACTACTGGGGTGTCAACTTTGCCATCCCAAAGCTGCCACATCATCAGAGCTGTCCATTTCGATATATAAACGTACTCGACCAGAACACAGAGAATGGAGCAAGGCACTTCCAAAAGCTAAAAATCAGTGATGGGCAGGAAGACTACTCCAGAAATAAGTGTGGTTGAACAACGCTTGTGAAGTTAGAGTAGCAGGTGACCAGTTCATCATGAACAGCTAGTGCTTACTTCGGTTGGCATTCTAGAAAGAACAGGGCAAATTTATGACTCTTTTTTAATATTTGTTGCCTAGGTCAGGCTAGCGTGACAAATGAGCAGCTCTGAATATGCAAGAGGCTTTCAGACAAAGAGCCTATTAGCCAAACATGCCTATTACTATGCGTAGCAGCAAATTCTCTTGCCAGTGAACTCTCGCCAAGTAACAATCTAGTTGGCATGTGTGCAAAGCCCATATTCAACACAAGTGACAGACAGCATGGGATATAAAGAAAATGTGACTATAAACAGAAATTCGGTTCAATAAAGAGAATAGAAAGTGAGAAAAAAAAAAAAAAAACATTTTAGGTAATGCTAGCTGGAAGTGTATACCAAGTCAAGAGGACCCCATGTCCTTTAGGACTCTTGGCTCTGCATAAATCTGGAGCTTCCAGACAGCTTAGAGATGCGTGTACCCGTCTGAGAAAAGGGGCCAAGACCTGTCCCTGTGTGACTGCTACTTTACAAATAGAGCTGTAAATCAGCGCAGCCGATGGGCAGCTTTTCCAGTTGCTGGTGTAAATTAGAGATGGGCCCTAAAGGCAGATCCTGAGCTGCTCCAGAGTCTCCTCCTGTGGCTGTGGGGAACTGGACTCTACAGAGACCTTCAGAACCATCCATGGGAAGACGAGCAGAGAACAGCTCCAGTTCCTCCATGCTGATTCCTGAGCTTGAAAAAAAAAAATAAAATAAATTCTTGGGGCTTCTTTAACCTGCACTGTAGACCACTGTGGTTCTCACAGCTCCTGGCCCTCCCTGAAACATCTCTGTAGCTTCAGAGAGAGGTTACTCAGACCTGATGTGTCCACAGGTGGTGTAAGCTTCCAAAGCATTTATCAGAGCTCAGGGTCTGATCTTCCCTTTCCTCTTTTTTTTTTTTTTTTTCCCATTAAAATTGTTTGGGTTGCCTTTGCTTTAGCTAGTGTAGTTGAGGATAATTCAATTGAATCCTACATTTATTTTTCTTTCTCCATTGTTCTTATTGGATCTGGCTGCACCCATCTTAGCAAAAAGATGGCTGTAAATATAGTTCCCGACAGTACTGCTGAAGAAGATCTGTCTGAACTGAAGTTTCCATGGAGCTCGCTTCAGCAATCCCTGACAGTGCAAGTGGTGACAGCTTTATACCTGTATATATTAACCAAGGGACACGATCAAATTGTTCCCATATATTATGTAAAACAACGTAAGTGGTTTATATACATTTAGATAGAGGCAACTAATTAATAAATTGACTTCAGTTTAAAATACAGAGTGCTAAGTATAAGCTAAAAGTGCCATCGCTCATGCACCATCTATTTGGAGCATGCTACTTCCATTATCAATGCAGAAAACTCACTCTGGGCTGAAGAAGATTCAGAGAAGTTAATATGGTGACATCACTTACGTTAATATTGTCCTTTATCTTGGGGAAAACAGCCTCAGTTCTGTTTGAGGTTTTGCTGGCTTCACATGGCGGCAGTTTATCTCGAGGCGTGTAGCCTCAGCAGAGTATGGAGCTGGAAACGTACACCCAGGCCACAGCTAACACTGACAAGGGACTGAAAGAGACACAGCACAGGCTTTGAAACCAAGCCTTTCCTGAGCTTTTTTCATGACAATATAGTGAATTCTAGCAGAGACTGAGTACCCTTTCTTTGCAGATTGCTTCCACAGGTTTTCTCCATCAGTTGGGCAGAAAGCTAGATTGTTAGCTTAGCTCCCTGAATATTTTTTTTAGTACTGCTACTGAGTATTGCATCTCCCGATCCAGGGGTAGTTGTACAGCAAAGACAGAAGAAAAGGTTTACACTTTGTAAGCTGCAGTGTAATAGACATAAAAGCCAAACTCTGCTGAATTTCTGCCTGAGGTGGCAGAGGAACGGGTACTCCAGAGATGCTCTCATGCTTTTGCAGCTCTCACAGTTCCATTGCCCTTGACCCTCAAATAGGTGAGGGCAGCCTGGATCCCCTGGGTAATGGCATGTCGGGCAATATAGCGAGACTGGCTGTACTTTCTACCTGCCTCGACGTGCTCTTTGCTATCTCCTGGTGCGATGCTTCAGAACAGTCACACTCTGAAAGAAATCTCAGGAAACCTTTAAACTGCTTTTCAGCCACTTTGAAGAACACGGGAGACATGAAAGAGCTGGAAATCACAGAGCCTGGCCTGACAACTCATTCTGGGCACCCCAGCTCCACTGAGCTCACAGAAGCCTACAGTCGATGCTACTTCATGTCAGACACCAGCTGCAGCTGTGTAGATTGAGGACAACCCCAGCCCTGCTCTCGCTGCTACCCAGCACGGGGACCCGTGGCTTGTCCTCCTGGAGCGCAGCCACAGCCTCAGAGAGGCGCTTTCATTCCCCTTCTGCCCCACATTTAACATCCATCCTGCTGCCACTTTTGTCTCCGTTGGAAGGTTAAAAGAAAAAAGATCCAACTGCCAACTGTATGGATAAGGAAGCCTCTCTCATGTTCGAAACTACTTACAGAGCAGCACTTTGCTAGCATATCCGTCACATTGAGAGGGTTCTGCTCCCTGCGAGAGGCTCCGAGTGGAGCACGGAGCTACCAGCGGCGAAGGGCTTCAGAGAAAGTGCCAGTGAACGCCTCTGCCGGGAACGAGAGGACAATGTACCTGCTGGAAAATGGAAATTCTTACTCATCGCAAGATGCTGTAGGCATTTGATTACCACCGGTTTCAAAGGCCTGGCTGAACATTCAGCTGGCACCCAATTAGCTCTCAGCCGTAACCTCAGAAGGGTTTTAATGTATTTGTGCACTGAGTGCAGGCTGCGTGCGCCAGTGGAGGTTCAGAGGTCCGGATGAGTGGGTGGGTGGATATGCACTGCCCCAGGTAGGAAGCGGTTGTGGCAATGCTCATTAAAAGGGTTTCTCCACTGAATAGATTTCACACGCAACATAATAAACCAATTCTTCAAAAAACATCGCTTGTATCGACCCTATGATTTGTTTAATGCCTAAAATATTAGATAAAGCAGGGAGATTATGGAAAGAGACATTCTAAAAATATACACACTGATACATAAAGTGCAGTAATCGTATTTTAAGCTGTTACCTAATTGCAGGGAATTACTGCACTACAGAAAAAAAAAAAAAAAAAAGGAAAAAAAAAAAAACAGCAATTCATTCCTCAGAGTTATCACACCAAATTTTCACCTTGTTTAAGGGCAGATGTACAGAGAATCCAAAAGGAAACAGATGTTTTCAAACCATCACAGCTCGTTTATAGGGATAATTACCTGCAAACAGTAAGGTTATTAACATTATTAGTTGAATATCATGATTTATCAAGCATGAAAAATTCATCGAAGTAGAAGTTCTGCTACAGAAGTCCCACTTAGGATTAATTTCCTTCAATGGCTGAGTAGATTTTTCAGCAATGCATCATAGTTTGTTGGCCATTCACAAACTCTTCCACAACGAACTGACCTTTATTAGCGACCTGACATTAGCAGTGGCAAACAAGAATAGCAAGAACCAGTACTGATACAGATATACTCCAGTCCAAATTTCCAGGTAAATACCTGTTTTTCCCATTGCATTTCATTCATTCTTTTTCCTGTAAATTGAATATTGTAGGCTCTTACAGATCTGAAGTAGGCACTGTCTAAATTAGTATCATACAGCTGGGCATGCTTTTTTTATAAGATACCCAATGCTTTTTAAATAATATATTTTGTACATGTCATTTTTTACTAGCATAAAGTTGAACAAAATAGAATGGAGGCCAATTCATTTTGTCATTGCCTAAACTTCAGAAAATTCAGTCAGTCAATTAATTTTTACTACAAATGCAGACACATAAAGAACTTGCCATTGGTCTGAAAGATTGTGGTGGGCGAGAAAATTGTATTTATTCTCTCATTTAAAATTTTCTATATTTTTCTTGAAATCTTACCATCCATGCCATGTTATGGAAAGTAAATCTAACAGAAAGCAATACTCCTAAAGCAGCACTGGATTCATTTTCCAAACTGGGACATATGTCATTCCTTTGTTCTTCTGGAAAGCATCCCTACAGCACCTGTAACGTAAGGAAGCGAGATGGGGAGCAGAGCATTAAGCTAAATGGCCTTTTGGAAACACGGAGAGAAAGCTGTACAAATGATGTATGGTGGAAGGTCAGCTAAATGCAAAATTCCCTGTGTTTTCTTTATAATGTTTTGGTTTTTTGTCCTGGATAAGTAGGGTCTGGAATAAAAAAGAGGCCTGACTATAAATGTTTTCACTGACTGGATCATTAGGGTCCGGTAATCAAATGGGAGAAGACTAGTCCTTTTGTAAAACACAAAATGGAATAATTCTCTTTTAATGTCCTATTTATTAGGAGTTGAAGGAGGCGCAGTTACAAACCAAGAAGCCCCATTTCCCCTGAGTGCAGGGATCACATCTAATTGCATTCAGCCCAGAGCAGCCACGACAGCGAGAGGAGCAAGAATCGATACCGCAGTGGAGATGCTTTCCCCATCACACTTCAGCGAGCTTTACCGTTCATCAGACAAAGGTACTTTCTGCATAATTAGTCTGCGGACACAACAGGGTTTTAACGCTGGCAGCCAGGAACACAGGTTCAGAAAGTTGATGATAATTCATAGGTTTCCGTGCAGGGAAGTCTCCAAGTGCTGCAGCCCAATTTACTTCATATCAAGCACTTCATGCTTCGTGCTACAACTGATGGATTTCTTGCTCTTTCAAACCACTTTATTTTGGGGGGTAGGTTTGCGACAGTTCCCAGTATAATTCCTAAAATCAGTGGATTCAGGGATATTTTAAAGGAGCAGCTCCTTGCATGATGGTTATCAAGGAACCTTTTTCCAGCTGCCTTAGATCTAGCCAGAAAGGGACAAACTGGACGTGGTATGAACAGCATTGCTTATCTTGAGGCATCTGGGGGCTAATTTCCCAAGAGAAATATCTCCTGGCGACTGCTGCAGGACTCTGGGTCCCCAAGTCCCTCAGAACATACAAAGGGGTTGGAAACAAGATGAAAATTGTAGCTCAATATTATTTGAATCTAGCCTAAATTGCAGTTCTGCATCCCACAATCAGTTAAATGTGTGCACTTGTCAGTCAGTGGTGCTTGCTTGGCAGCCGAGCAGTCCCTGTGTTCAGGTAACTCCTGCATCTCACTGAAAACAAGAGCCTGCAGAAGTCACGGTCAAACCAGAGCACTGCTCCATGAAACGGACCTGCTGCTAGTTATCCCTGACACGTATTGTCTGTAACATATTTAGAACAAACACTGCAGATCTCACAGCCACTCTTGACTAGATTAGATGGCAATGTTTATGATTTTGTTAATTACAAAAGAGCTAAGTGATGCCATTCAACAGAGACATTAATTTAAATTTTGACCGTGCTTTGATGCAGTCGTGTTCTTCGGAGCTGCGAGGCCAGCCTTCCTTTGCAACTGCAGCTTTGTCCTGTGCACCAGCAATAACCTAGGGAAGGCATCCTTGTCAGGTCTGCAGATGGCACCGGGTTGGGAACAACTGGGGAAATGAGGAGCTCAAAGACAAGGTCCTGGGTGTGCGGCGATCAACACCGTGTATCCACAGGACTCTTACACAAATTCCTGCTTGAGAAATACAGAACAAAGCCAGCAGATGATTAGTGGGAAACAAAAGCAAGGACACTCAAGAACAGTGTGGTTGGAAAAGATCTGAAATGTTGTCGTATGACTGGCTGTATCCCTGAGTTACCTCAGTGAGGAAGACAGAGCCCAAAGACTGCACACAGGACGGCTGTCTCGTCTTTCTGAAACAGAACCAAAGGGAAGAATACATGTCACTGATAAAACAATTATTAAATAATTGCGTGCAAATAGGCTTAGGACTGAATTATATCAATTACATTTAATTATCATCTGTGTAATGCTTTCCAGGCATAAAATAGCATTTAACTATAAAGAATTCTTGGAATTAATCCTATTTAACATTTTCTTAAAACCATCTTTGCAGCATTAGCAAACTGCTAAACATGAATGCCTCCATAGCCAAATCAGGTGGTACTCCAGAGTTTTAGGGTGACTGGCAGTTCTTCTGTATGGAAGAGTAAAATTGTACCTGAAACCAAGTTCCTCTTGAAACTGGCAGTAATAAATAAATCAATATTGATCACGTTTTAAAAATAACCACTTTCTTGGTATTGCTATTGATTCTAGCAGGGCTGACTAAAGAAAGGATATACAGGATATACATAAGTAGAGCAACAAAAGAAGAGTTGGATATTAATGTCATCTTTTATCTTCGCAGGCTCTAATATGGCTAGAAGGTATTGATTACCTTAAAAGCCCCTAATAACTAGAGAACTATTGACTTAATATTTTCTCTAATCCTCCATGAAATTTTACAGTAAGTCCTGATGTATTTGCTGTTAAGGGTTTTAGGGCTGAACTATATCATGTACTTATTTGAAGTGTCAGCTGTAAGGCTTACACTGCAGTTGATGGGAACTATGTTAAAGGTGAGTAATAACTCCAGAGATTTAAGTATGGTTGTAAGGACTTTGGAAATAGATACATCTCCTAATGCATATTATTCTATAACTTTTTGCCTTTTAAGTAATCTGTATAATTAATGTAATATGAATTTATTTTCATTCAGTGGAAGTGTTGGTGCTGTTCATAATCACTTAACTATAGCTGTCCTGAAAATTGCCCCCACAGTGCCAGGCTCACAGCCCCTCGTGCATGCTGCAGCAGCACCAGGGGCAGCTTCGTCCTGGCTGGTGCAGCACCTCGACTGCCTTCATGCTGCTGCCACGGTCCCAAAACCACCCAGGCCCTTCTGCCTCCATAAACCTCACCTGGGTCCAAGTTGCTGATGCAGAAAGAAAAGCTTGGCAGTTCCCTTAAGCCCACTTCTGTACTTTCCAAGTGTATTTACGGAAATGCTTTCATGAGCCTGCTGCCCAACACCAGAACTGCAGAAACATCTCTTTGCTCTTTCAAAACAGATAAAAGATTGGTAGATTAAGAAAGCGCTAGTTGAAAAAACACTATAGAAAGAGAAGTGCAATTACAGAGCTCATTCAAACTCGCATCCTTTACAGCACTTGAACAGCACAAAGGAGCCTCGGTAGGTTAACTCACATTTTCAAAGGACCTTTACGTTGTGAAGGTGATACACAGCGAGATCCAGCAAAGAAGAATAGATTTTTCCCCCCCTTTCTTCCAATAAAACTAAGGGCTTCTCTTGATCCCATGAGTTACATCTAATCCTTATTGATTGGTTTTGGCTCAATCCTCTAATCACTTATTTATGGAAATATCTTTATTATAAAGGCCGTCTCATTAAAACAAATGGGACGGCGGGGGCAGGTTACTCATGTGCTTTTTGGCAGGAGCGGGGGCCCAGCTTCTCAGAGCCATTTAAGCATTAAACTCCTTCTTAAGTGCTGCATCCCTGTGGGTTTCATCAGTCCCCTGGGCTGGTTCAGCACCTCTGGGGCTTGCTCCTTGCCGCAGCAGCGGGGTCAGAGCAGGCAGAGGCCGGGAGCACAGCGCTGGGAGCACAGCACCGGGGGCAGCAGGGCCCGAGCCGTGCCCTTAGCCGAGCACTCAGAGCACAGCACCTAATTATTTTAATGACTGGAAATGAACTGTGAATTTCTTAAGAGCGAAACGTTTTCAGTCAATCTACCCACATTAATAACAGACTGTTAGAGACTGCTTATATCTTTAATACCATGAAGTGCAGCCGCTACGTTTCCCTGCTTAATATTAGGCCAAGTGTTAAAGTATCAAGCTTTATATGCTTCTGACGAAATAAATGATAAGGACAAAAAGGAAAACTCCCACAGCACCCTGCACCTGAGCCGTGTTGGCTGCACTGCCAGCTCTCATCTGTGCATCCCAGGGGTGAGGTGGCCGGGAAGGAGCCAGGACCAGCCCCGGGAGCCCCAGCACTGCAGGATGCACCGCTGCAAAGGGGCCAGCTGGGGGTCTGGCCCAATTATTGCACTGCGGTTCTTCCTGCTCTAATGTGCTGCTCGTTGCTGATTTGCTTTTTCTTTCTATATCCAAGAAAATGCATGAGATGTAATCAGGAGCATGAGACACTACAGCCAGCATTTGCCAGTTTAGAGAGTGTGAGTAGTTCCATCAGAGGCAGAAGTTGAAGCAGCTTTAACAGACAATTTTCAGACAGTTCCGAGCATTCATGCAGAAAGAAATCACCTAAAATCATGATTCATTTTTTAAAATGCTGCCCGAGCTTGAGTCCCTTCAAAATGAAAATGTCATTACTAATTCAGGTAAGTTTTCATGCAGTCACAAATGCTGGCACGCGAGTTCAGCACACACAAGCAGGTGACAGCAGCTCACCCCATGCCTGGGCTGCTCCCCAGAGCCCCTCCCCATGCAGCCCAGGGGGGAGACCCTGCTCAGCCTCTCCACGATGCCGGGAAAGCCACCCATAAACCAAACCCATGAGCTGTGTCTTCCTCTTGTGGGAGCATCAAAAGCGTATCAGATTGCAAATGGAGCAGAGATTAAACATAGCTTTTAATGGATCTGCAAACACTTGCATTTGAGAAAAACAACAGAGCATAAACTCATTTACCACTAAATAAACTCCCTGCTTTTTCCTACACCGCCTGCTTGCGTTCAGCTGCAGCACTCACTGCCTCTGTAAACGTCTTCCCCCGGTTCAGGCAGTACCAAGTTGCTTATTTTGTGACCACACATACCTTTTTGCTCTCGGGCATAGAATGGACCACAGGGTGTTTCAGAGAGTGTTCAGACTAAGTCTCCTGAACGTGGGGAGTCCTCCACCTCCAAACCCGGGGCCGCACAGCACGCATTGGACAGCATCAGCAATTCACAAAGAACTAATGGGATCGAGTTTTTTCTTTTCTGTTACACCAACAAAGTTATGCACTCACTTCTCTCGTTTTTTTTTCAATACTGAATAATGCAGCATCTCAGCTATGCTACTGAAATACAATCACTGCTTACATCACTGCAGTATCTGTTATTACTTTTGCTTAGCTTGGATGACTTTGCAGGCACCCAGTTGGCTCCAGAGCAACTTGAGTCCCCCAGTCCACCTCTGCCTTCTGCTTCAGCTGCCCAGATCTGTTAACCTGGCTCTTGGCTGGAAATAACCACAGCTCACCACCCCTGCTACCCTCCCCACACCCTCAGGGCTGCCAGGCATTGACCTGCCCCCTGTGGGGTCCTCGCTTGGACAGCCAAAAACCCAGAATGTTGCCTGAGCAGGGCACTGCCTCTGGCCCTGCCCAGCACCCTCACAGCACAGCTTCTCTGGAGCCCATAAACCACAGAACCAGGATGAATTTCCCTCCAGCAATTTTCCTTTTGCCCATTACCACATGTACAAATGTAACATAACTGCGCATTTCTTTGCGGCTCCGAAAGAAAGAATTGTGTAGATGTTTATTAAACAACAGAGTCGGATGGAATTAGCCACATTATGTTGTCTGGAATATGAAAGTTAATTGGAAGACACGATGATTTACTAAAGTTTGAAATACCGAATGGCTTTTTGAGTAAGTTAACGACAACCAGAATCAGAATATAACCGCGGAAAATGGAAATTTTATTTTAATTCCTACCACAATACTTTTGTAAACGAGCCTGCTCTCGCCTCATTGTGTGAGGTTTATCACAGCTCAGTTTCCTGTACGTACTTAAATGTTATCCGAGGGTATGTTAAATACGGCAACCAGCTCACATCCATCACAGGACACTGGAAGAGATTTCATTTTCCTAACTAAAGCGCCAGAGGCGAGCGGGCCTGGCAGCTGTGGGGAGCTCCTGGGCAGAGCACGATGAAGAGCAGCAGCCAGCCGGTAGGGAAGAGGAGGAGGAGGAGGAGCGAAGGCTGGTGGGGAAGGCACGTGCCGCATTTTCAGTACCCAAGGAGTGCTTCCAGCAGTGGAATGTAATGAAAAAATACAAAAAATAAAGAAGGAAAGAAGATAACTGAGCAGTGTGCCTGTGCACTAACTGCCCTGTCCCTGCTCACAGTGCGTTACCGCTGGGCTGGATTCAAGGTGGAGGTGCTACACTGACCATGCCATGCCCCAAAGGACTTTCAAACACCTCATGAATTCTGTCCCAGCTCCTTTCTAGGGCACAGAACTAAATTCTCTTTTTTTTTTTTTTTCAACCAGAATTTTGGCCAAGACGTTTTTCTTATTGGGAGATGATCAAACTCCCCCATCACACCATGCCAGGAAACATAATCCTGTTTCCTCAGCAGCTTTCCATTCTCCTCCTCTCCCATGGAAGATCTGCCCTCCTCATCCTCTTCTTCCTCCTCCTCATTCTCCTCCTCCATGACAGTGGCCAGAGGCCCTGAGAGAAGAGTGCCCATCTCCTTCAGGCCTCCTCCCCACCTCAGCGTTCACGCCTCGCTCGGTGTGACCAGGGATCTCCACCATGGGCCCGAAGGAGCCCTCGCTGGCAGCCAGGGCCTCCCCCCAAGAGCAGGTGGGCACTGACGTGAGGGACACAAATCCCATTTGCACGCGTTGGGGACCAGATCCTCTCAGCATTTTGTTAGAATCCTTTCTTCCTCCTTCATTTCTCTTTACGCCTCTCTCCCACTGGTCTCTTAATCCTTGTGCTCAGCGGGTTGTTTATTGTTGATGTAAACATCCCCCACTGCTGCCTCGTACTCCCTTCCAGCCCTCCTGAAACATTTGGCTTCTCCTGCCCTTCCCAGCATAACACAGCCCAGCCCAGCCCAGCACTGCAGGCCTTTTGGTTTAACACTCCTTATTCTTCTTCAGTTGCTCTTCCAAAAACAAAAAGTGCTGCGTTTCAACACCAGCGACTAAGACAAACCAGCCTCACAGCTTCGGTGTTTGGCTCCTCCAGCACACATGGAGCTCCCACAGAGCTCTGCCAAGGGACATCTGAGTTTACTACAGATTTAAAGATCACGCCTTCCAGAAGCATCAGCTCCTACACAACTGGAAATCAAAACTATTAACATCTTTAGGATTATTTTTTCTTCGGCCAAAACCAAACCTCTGTTCCAAGGGAATTATTTTTCTGTACAAATTCCTGAGATGTTGCTATCTGCATGTTCTTCTGTAAGGACAGAGGAAAAAAAATAAATTATGCAATGCTATAGGCTTAAAATAAGTGGAAAAGAGAAAAAAATGCTATATCTGAAACATTTGCAAGTGAAAACATATCACTCAACGTAAATTCTTCCAGAACTGACAACAGAGAAAAGTTGTCAAGCGTTGGTCCAAATTTTTCCTTACATTTGGTACTTTTCACAGCCACCTCCGTGCCTCCCCCAAATTCCACGGGCCCGTGGCAGGGAGAGGTGAGGTGGGGGGACTGCTGCAGGCTGCTTGGGGCCTCCCAGTGAAGGGACAATTGCTCTTGGATCGAAGCATGTCACATTCCCACTGGTCACAAAGAAAATCTGTAATTTGAAGAAAAGTGATCTGGGGTAATAAGGTTTTGCGGGGAAGATAATCCGGGTAGAGATGCCTGAGAAACTGAAGAGGGCCTTCAAGCAGCTGGGGAAGACCTCCAAGCAAAGCGTGGTTGTTGGCACAGAGTCCTGGGGCTCCTGGGAGGATTTAGGTTCCCACAGCTCCTGGCAGGGCAGAGATGCTGCTCAGGTACCAGCTGTGGAAGGGGATTTGTGACTGGCACGATGTGAACTTGCTGTGTGTGGGTTGACTAGCTTCCCGCATGAATGTATTGACCTAGTTTTCTGGCAAATCCTGGAGTTATACCCATGAAAAAATATTGTACTAACTTTTCAGAACACATACCGGAGAAAGGAAATGGTGTTACATATATCAAATAGGTCCTTTTTCACTTACAACTATTTCATTCGGTTTAGCAGTACATAGGAAATGAAATGCAATAAGGCTGCTACAGGCTTATCCATACTCTCCTTATTAATTCCCCAGTGCCTCCCCTCAGCGCATCACTTAAGGTAAGAATACATCTCCCTGTGCCTCCTAACCCATGGCTATTTTAAGAAATACTGAGCGAGGCACTAGGGTTCAGCAGGACACTTTGTCAGCAAATTGATTGGGATTTGCATGGAAGGGCAGTTTGCACACACCCTGTCCCTCACAACACGCACAAGTGTTAACCACGAAGTGAATTCCCTTGCAATTTATAGCCCTGCTTTTTCCAATTTGCTCCGCTAACTCATTCAGCTCCTGGCAGGTCTCAATTCCAGCCACGGGATTGTTCAGCACAAAACAAAATGACATTGTCGCCCTAATCGATTCGAACTCGTGCTAACCTGCGAGTTACGTGCACGTCTCCTGGATGGTTTTTGTGCTGTGAGTGCTCCCTGGGTGCTGCTCAGCGCCAGCCCGGAGGCGGCAGCAGCAGCACGAGCTGTCCCCACCATTGCTCTGTGGCACAAACACAATCCGGGACGTGATTTTCCCTCCTCTTACACAGCTCCATGGCACGACAGGTAAGGTGAGGTTGGCCAGGACATCACGTTCCTCTGGCCAGCCATTCTGCTTCCTAGCATTTAAACCCATACTGCCATCTATTTTGGGTGAAGAATTTACAGAAACCGAAAAAGTCTATAACAAGAATAAGTTAAATTAAATTGCTCAAAGACTTGGAAACAGAACTATGATGCCTGGCAGCTGCAATGGAGCAAAGGGCTTCCTCCTCCCATGGTCCTGGGTCCATGGCTGGAATGGGGAAAGACACTGCAAAAGGAGGGAGGGGAGCTGCAGAGCAGCTCAGGGGCTGTTTGTGTCTGTGCACCACCACCACAAGGGAAATACAGACAATATCTGGGCTTCTGTTAAAAAGCACTGATTTCTCACCGACGTGGGTAAAGGAAAAGGCAGGTTCATGTGCAGTGCTGCCCATCAGTACTGTGATATGGGCCCAAGAAGATGAGAAAGAAATGCCTGTAACATTTTCTCCCAGTGTCTTACACCTTGCTGCACACCTTGGTGGAAGTGATGCCATCTCCTGTGAAAACACGTAGGAAGCTGCTTCCTACTTCTGCAAAGTAACAAAAAAAAAAAAAAAAAGGAAAAAGAAAAAAGAAAAAAAAAAACATCTTAGAGATTATTCAGTTCAGAGAGACTGTTCCAGCCAGAAAGTAATCCTTAATGTCACGTTCTACCACGGGCAGAGTAAGGGTTATGCCTTGGCCACTACACAGCAAACATCAAAAGGATGAAACCACGAGACAAGACTCACCAATATAGGTTAGTGATGCGCTGCCCTCCTCTGAAGCCCCTTGTCATCTCTGAGGAAATCCTGGCACACTTTTACCTAAAGTTTCCACTGATTAGGTTAACCAGCATCTCAGAAATAACACTTAGATGTTTTATGTCCTTAAACAGTCATACACTGATTAAAAAACAGTACCTCCATGATGGGAGCAGGCATTTTAGTTACATTTTTAGAGTCAACACATCTAAATATTTGAAGATCACTGCCAATCTTTACCTTTAAGCAGCATAGCACCGCACAGGGAGGGTCAGACTCCTTCTTTAAATATTTACAAGAAATCCACTGTGTTCTTGCTTGGAGACTGCAAGGCAATCTAAAAGCTCAGAGAAATACCACAGCCCTCTGCCTGCCTTTCCCGACTGCAGGATCCAAATGGGTTTTCTCTACATTCAACTTTGATCAGCTTTCCTCTGCCTCTTCTGTGCTGCATCTGAATATTTGGGCTTTCTGTCATTAGTATAGGGCCAGGACAGAGCTGATAACAGGGGCTGGGTTTCCCAGTCCCCAGATTTTGGCCCTTCTGAGCGTGGATGAGCACCAGGAGATGCTCAGCCAGCCTTTTTAATTATTAATATTTTTTAATTTGAGACACCGAAATGCAAAGAGATAAAGAGCAGGCAGCACGTGACAACACAGAGAAATGGCTGTCTTGGTACAATTAGCACCTAAAATGCAGGTGCATTTTGGCTGCACAACCCAGGAGCATCCCCCCCGTGCTGGTTAGGTGCAGGGCTGTAAATCCCTGTCCTGCCTAACAGCTGCGGCCAGAGCTGCGATGGGCAGCCCAGCTCTGTCAATTAGGGGCATGGAAATTCATCCTCCTAACTAGCTTCATTAGGAAAACAGGTTATTACATGTAGGATCAACTCACGTGAGCATAAACAAAAATCTCTTTCTTAAGCCTCGTTTGGACAGATGGTTTTTCCACGTTTGTGGAAAAAGGGTTCATTTTTCAGCACGAGGAGGTGGGCTAATCGCCTCCTAATTAACACCAGCTCTCAGCATGGGGCTGGCTGCAGAGCTCAGTCTTTGAGGGGAAGGTATTGGATGTATCCAACTTTCTTACACAAATTTCAGACATAAAAAAGAAATCGCAAAACTACTATTGTTTTGGCTAACCTCAGGAACATTTATATTCAAGAAAATCCTACAACTGGGGTCTTGATTCCTCCCCATTTTAAACCATCTCCCAAGAAAAACCCGAATAAAGGCTACGCAGGAGCTCAGAGTCTATTTTCTTACGAGGTGAACCACATATACCCAAAGAATAAAGTGACAATTTCTTCATGTTTCTGAGTTATGGATTGGAAAAATAGTCTCAGCAACATTGATCAATGGGAACTTCAAAGAGGAATGTGGACCATCTATTACATTTTCTCCCAATTACTGTCCTGCTGAGAATTGCATTTTATGTGCCTTCCAGGCTTCAAAAAAGGGAGAGGGATAAAAAAAAAAAAAAGCTCATGAGAGAGTTTTACCTTTTTATTGAACCTAGACGCTAGAGAGCTAGTTAGGTAAATTCTGAGTTGCTGTTGCAGATGTGACCAGCCTGATGGTGTCTACAGAAGCGTGAGATTTTGTATTATTTTTTTTTTCAATTTGTAGCCAAAGCATGTAAAGGAGAAAGGCAAAAGGCATTAAAATATATTTTAGGCTTGATCCAGCCCCAAAACAGTGTTTTAGTGGCTAAATATTTGAAAAACTTATTTCAAGGTGACTTTGTAGCTTTTTTTCCAATCCATGTAGGTTTTACAGTCCTTTAAAGTCTATAAGAGTGCATTTTTAGCTAGCTATAAAATAAAAACACTGTTTTGAAAACAAAAGTCAGAAACATCCCTTGAAGTTGTCATTTTTTGTGATCACTTTTTTTCCTTTTTGTTTATAACTTTGACAAATCGTGCCTAAATTCACTAATCATTTCCACTAAGCCGAAAATGATTTATCTTATTTTGTTATTAGGTGAATTTTAGCTCTTTATTTTGTTATTTCAGTTCTTGGGACCTGGTTTTGGAGGGGAAAGGAGAACTGATTGCCTTCCTCTTCTTTTCTACAGGAAACTACAGATAATGTGATGCCATCACCGCTTGCTGCCTCAGGTGAATTGCCTCTCCCTCCACAGGCTAAACCAAAGGTTTTGTTAAAGTGGAGAAGCCAGGAAACCACGGGAAAGCACAAGAAATAGCAGCAATGCCTCCTGAGTAGATGGTGCTTTTCCACAGTGTTTTTCAGGGGTGGTTGTTTGTGTGTGTGGTTATCCCTGACCAGGTGCAATAAATGTCTAGGTCTCGTCACCTCCGTCTGGCTCACCCACCCACTGAACCAGGTAGAAACTTATGGGGCTTCTTTCAGAGCGGCTGTCGGGAAGGGGTGATGAGATTTGTGGGAAGGTGAGCGCTGCTTTCCAGGCAATAGCATTATCTGTGGCCTTAAAGTAAAGCAAGCACTCGGCTGGATCGGGGCCAGAGTGCTCAGCCTTGTGCAGGTACCGATAAGAACAACATAAATTGTCATTCAGGAATAAAAACAGGCAGGTGCTTACTTTTTCATAGCGCATCCAGGCGATTGGGCTCTCTCTGGAAGAGATGTAATTCTCCGTGAATGCACCACCTTACACATAATGCGCCATTTCTCAGCCTCTTGTGTTCTGCTAAGCACAAACCTTCGAGCAAAGCTGGATGTGCCATGGAAGTCTGATCATGCATCTTCGTAGAGAAGGAAAGAGCCAATTCCTCCTGGCAGCAACAGAAAGGAGAGACAAATGACAGAAAGTTCAGATCAGTCGTTGGAAATGACTTCTCTGTGCTGAAATAAATGCTTCCAGAGCAGAGGCAGCAACACCTTAAGTATTTGTAGGAGTGAAACTATAACTTCAACTCTAGCTGGTCAATGGTTTTGATTCAAAATCATTTAATTTAAAGGAGGGCTGTTTTGTTCTGGTGGAAGGCTGTGGCTGATGAGCTTTACCAGTATTAATGCAGCATCCTTTCCTTGCAGTGACATATTCCCACAGAAAAAGTCAAAGCAGTGAGTATGCACACCCCACATAATAGAATATTAGCATTATTAATTTTTAAAATAAATATTTAATTTAACAGATCAAGTTAGATGCAAAAATACAGCTGTTTCGTTAACATCTAGATTTTAATTTAATGAAAATAATGGCATACATGTAGGTTTACATTAAGTTTTGCGCACACAGCAGCTGACAGGGTACAGCACGCCTGCTTGGACCAAGCATATTCGGAATACAGATTTAATGCTTTGGGCCATTTAAGTGAAGGCAGTCACGTTAACACAGCTATAGAAAGCTGTGATTTATACTCACTGTGACATTAATGACAATTTCACTCAACAATTGCATCTGGTTTGGATGGCCGCCAACGTGGAGAGCAGCTTTGTATCCGGAGGTTAACAGGTTGACTTGTGGAAATCACAAAAAAATAGAGGTTCCTATTTCATTCTGTAGCAGGGAGGTTATTTGGGGGGGGTTGACGTGACAGACTCCCGAGTGCTACCAGCTGGGGCTGCTGCGTCAGCGCTTCCAAGAGGCGATGCTGGATGCTGGATGAGGCCCTGCCAGCCCCCGAGGCAGCAGCCTGCCAGGAGAGCTTCCCAGAGCTGCTTTCACCCACTCAGCCATTCCCCAGCCCTGAGGAAAGGGGCGTTATTCTCCAAAAGGCCATTATTTGGACAAATCAGGAGTGGCAACGCAGGGAGCCTCGCGGTGCCACAGCAGAACCAGAGGGCCAGGCCGCTGAGCAAGCGGTCGCTGCGAAGGCAGAGGACCAAGGCGGTCAAAAGACAAAGTGCTCAGCTGCATCTGCGCTGTGGATCTGCCCCAGGAAGAGAAAGCTGACTTGGCCACTTGCTTATTTACACTCTAGCCTTCCTAGCCCTCTTTGATATTTAAATCGCACAAAGCATTTTTCCGCTCTAAAACGCTCTTCATACCAAAAACGCTGATGAGGCAGCCCGGAGGTAATTGCACTCCAGCAGGTCTGGAGCAGCCTCTGCTCACAGCCGGTCCCGAGCCGCTGCCAGCAGAAGGGGGGCACAGCCTGCTGGACCCGGCCCCACTGCTTCTGCTGGCACAGGAGCTCTGAGGGTGGCTGTGATGTCCACGCTGTCTGTGCTGGCAGCCCCTGAAGCTTGGTGTTTGGTGTCCCTTCAGCACACCGGGCCTGATTCCAACTTCAGCCCTAAGAACAGAAACCCGAAACAACCCCTCGGTGGTGTTTGGGATCCAGCAGGCATCCTTGCCGACCCTGTGCCGAGGCTGTGTGCTCCTGGTGGTACCGTGGGGGTCCCTGCCTGCCTCGCAGCGCCCCTCCGAAGCGGGATGCTCCTCACCAGAGTCCTCCCACGGTGGGCTCCTGGCCGTGCTCTTCACATGCAATAAGCTTCCTAAAGAGCTTTAGCTTTCTGACACCTCTCCTCAGCTTGACAGCCGAAACTGCATCAAACGGGGTTAAGTGGTTGTTTGGGGGCCGATCAGTCTGCAAGAATCATTGCCCGGAGAGCTCTTACCAAGAAAACCAAACACTCCTGATACTTTAATCTTGGCGCTGCTAACACTCTGGCTATGACAAAGGGCTGAAAGGAACCTGGCTTCCTCGGCACCGTGGGCATCCCCCGTGGCTGCCTCCACCTAATGAGGCTGCCGGGGCTTTGTGATGCACGGCAGCTTCTCCTTCCTTGGGTATGCAACCCAGACAGCACGAGTTTACAGAAGCTGCATTTTTACCTGTCAATTGCCGTAATAGGTCCCAAGTCTGGGCACTTTTACTAGACTGTCAGGGAAATAAATGCTTATGTGGCACGCTGGATTTATCACTGGAGCAAATCGGGTATTTGGGAAAAAATAGTAACAGAAGGGATCTACAGCCATAGTGATTTAACAGATCCCCTTACCACAGCACGTGGGAAAGCCCATCTTGTGGGTGGTCTCTCGGGCTCCACTTGCCCAAGAAATAACACAATGAGGAGCACAGCTGGAGGAGCAGGCAAGGTGGAGAGCCCGGCCCATCGCACTGCTCTGGGCATGGAGGAGAAAAGGCTCGAGGAGAGCTGCCCTCCCACCTAGATGCTGATCGCAGCTTTCAAGGTCAAACTGGGCAACTGCTGAGAGAGGAATTTCGAAGTTTGTGATGCAGATGATCAGCAGGATTGAGTTTTTGGTAACCTTAAGCTGCCCCTTATTAAGGAGACACAGTTGCAGAGCAAAGAGTACAGATTTCCCAGATCCCAGGCTAATGCCTTGCAGTCATCTCATTGGCTTTGGTCTTTAATCATTCCAGAGGCACAACTCCCACCCATGTCAGCACAGGTTTTGCGTTCTTGCAAAATCATCATCTATTCACAGCAAAATCCCACACTCAGCTTCAGTGGGAACTGGGTGGCCAAACGGCAGCAAAAAATCCCAGGCGAGTCTCCTTTCTGAACCAACTTAAAATTAAAAATGCAATAAATAGCTTGCAGCAGAGATCTGAGAAAACGCTGTATGGCTGCATGGCAGCAAATGTGCTTGCTTTTGAGACGTTTATGTCTTTGTGCAAGTACATACTTATATTGAATAGACCTTAAAAAATGCAAGATTCACGTATGGACTGAGCACAAAGACTTCCCACGTGCCCATGATACGATCCTACAATCATACACAAGGCTCTTGAATTGAGGTGACAAACACCGAGGAGGAAATGCTCACGTTCACGTATCTTTCTTGCAGCTTACTTTAAAACATCTGTTCAAGTGCACCAGTGTGGGAGGCCTGGCTTTGCACAAGCAGAAGCCGCAGAGCATAGCGCCAGCCATGCCGGGGTCTCTGCGGGACCTGCCCGTGTGCTCCTGCACAAGATGGGGTTATCCGAGGTACTGCTGCTCCACTGCCTTTGGCCAGCTCCAAGGAAAGAAAATGAGAATCCCTTTAATTAAGGAAATCAAGTTACCTTGCATGGGCTGGTTTTCGCCGCAGATAAGAAGCGGCTCTCACAGGTCAGTTGATTTATGGGATCCTCAGGGCAATGTGCTCGTGTGTCCACAGCCCAAATCTCCTTTTTATGTAATACCCAAAGTCTGACCTGCAACGACTTCAGGGTTTTCCTGCCAGTGCTTTCCAGGATGCAAGGAGGTCCCATCAGAGCTGGGAGGCTGCTCAGGTGCTTTTGGTCCCCTGGAAGCTGTGAAGGCACGGCTGCTCTCCCAGCCCCCTTCGAGGCCACCCCAGGGCAGGTTTGGTGCCGTGGGATGCAGCAGGATTGGGGCAACACATGGGCAAGCCCACAAAACTGGCAGCTCCCCAGGAAAGCAGAGAAGTTTTTCACATCTACATTTTCCTCCTTGCTAAGATATAACATTATTTCTTGGAAAACATCTTTTAGTCCATGAATCATTCCTGTGGGTAGAAAAAAAATATATATATATTTTTTTCAAAAACAAATCAGAAAGCATCCCAAAAATGCATGAGGTTATCAAATTTCTGAGGGAGTGAAGAACTCTAAAATTTAATTTAAGATTCAGTTTTCCTTCTGTGTTTTCTCAGCTCTGCTAGGAGCTGTAGGTATTTGAGTTTGCAACACAGATATTTTTAAATTTATTGTCAGTATGACAATGATTATGTAGCCCATTGAGATCGAGTGGGGTGATTTAGTGTTTTGGAGGCATTTGTCATGTTTGATGAATGCATCTGGTGATTCAGGGCAATGAAAATGTGAGATTTCCAGCCGGCGAGAGATAAAGGATGACGATTGATACATAGGGCTATGACAGCGGCTGTATAAGGTTACAAAAATTTTATTTGTTTCTCATTTGGATTTTCAGAGGAAGATGGGAAGGAAGATATGCCTCAGCTGGCTCTTTGAGGTGGAGCTGGATGGGCTGCGCAGACATTCCTAACGCTTTGACCACACTTAGTTGGGAACGAAGCAATATTTACCCATCTGGGTCCTGGTCTCTTGTCTGTCATCACTTACCTGATCTTAGATTGTGAGCTTTTGGGGAGAAATTCATTTTGCAGCCTGCTTGAGCAACAGGCACCAAGCGCAGCATAGTCCTGAGCCATGAGGGCTGCCTGTGGGACATGCAGAAATACAAACACAAAGGTACAAAGCAAAAAAAAATATCAGTGAAAACCACCAGTGCTGCAATAAGCATCGGGAAGGACCAGAAAGAAAGATGTCTTTCCTTATGGGTTTCTATCAGGCATTCGTTCTGCACTAACTTACAGTGAATCGGAAGGAAATACCCTGGGTGAATGGCAACCTGCATGGATTTGAAAATTACTTTTCAAAAAATCTACTTCATGGATTTGAAAATGACCTTTATATCCATTTTGCGGATCTGGGGGCAGGCAGAGGAGGCTGCAGTGGGAAGCAGAGGATAAGGAGGGTGAGGAAGGCAGGCTGCAGCCCAGCAGAACCAGCGCCCACAGAGACCCCACGTTCCTGCAGCCAGCAGCATTTCCTAATGAAGCTGTGCTCCGTGGCAGTGGTACAAATGAGGATAAAGGCAATAACCTTTGCTAGTATTAGAAACAGACAAGTTACTCACTTCTTATACATCTTTTTTGGGGGTGAAAAGAGATTTTTTCCTGCTGTCTTACAGCCCTTGGATCTGACAGCTGCCTAAAGCTAGAGGATCGGCTTTCAGAAGAAACCCACACCTGAAATGTTGAATACACGAGAGATGCCATGTTGTATTTTTCAGAAATTGAATTGTAGAAACTCCCACACTCTTACCACATGTCAGCTTAGATCACTGCACTGCACCTGCCCAAATTCCCCCTCAGAGCTTCCATAGCGTGTTATTATTCATCGCTGCCTGCTCTAAACTGGTGCCTCACAGAGCTCCGTGCTTTTCGCACGAGGAAGCTGACTTCAGTGGTGAATGGATGAGATTTCAGTTTGACAAATTTGTAAATCCTTTAGGGATCCCATCAAACGCAAAGTGCTGTGTGAATACAGGCTGTCAGCCCATTCAGTCTGACGAGCCACGGTGCTGCTCGTTGGGTAAAGCTGGTGGCTGAACACCAGGCTTTTAACGTGGCCGTCAGCATCGTGGGCTCCAGCATCTTCCTCGCCTGGACTGCAGCCTGGTGGCACGTTCCCATTCAGAGGTTGCTGAACTTTCTATTACAATGGGATGTATTTGCCATGCCAAAATAGGAGATTTATATGCAGCCATGCATTTTATTGAAAGCTTGTCTGGTATTATATGTCCAAGCAAGTCCATTTGTTTTCCAGCTGATGCACTTACGGTGAGATTTGATGTCCATGTATAAGCTCCACTGAGAAATAATGCCCACTGAAACCTGTCCCTATTGCATAACCCCTTCTGATTTAAGATCCTCATGACATCGATCACTGATGCTGTCTTTAAAACCTAATAAAGCCGACTCATCAAAATGAGTTTTCTCCTTCACTATTATTATTTCCTGTGACCGCTGGGTTATTAAATAACACGCATACATTGATTCATAAACTATTGAGTCTTAAATTATTGACTAACTTAATGTCAGTCTCCAAGTCTACCCCATTTAAAATTCCTCTTCATTTCAGTATCTTGTCCTGAAAAGCACTGAGGGCTCTTCTTACCTCGCAGAGCTGTGGCTCCCAGGGGACACCACAGAAACCCACCTACCTCTCCCTCGGTAAAAGAGCCAGACAGAGGAACTGAGTCCTGGCCAGCCAGGATCTGCTTTGCAGAGCTTTATTTCTTCCAGGAGCTGTGGAGGTCCGTGGGACAAATGCCTTGCTGGAAGTAAAGGTGACAGAATCTGGCCTGTAAGAAACAGCAGGTTATTTGTGCTGCATGTATCAGCCAATTTGTCAGCGTACATTTTAGAATGTGAACATTTTGCTGTTGCCACACACCTCGCTGAATTGGCACCCCTCTAAGACCAAAGTGTGTCTTCTGCTCCAGAATCCCAGTGGACAGGCTCCTCGCGAGCACTTTCCAAGCAGCTGCCTGGCTACCTATTGCGTTTACGTACGAGCTGCAAGAGCCTTGAACTGAGGGTTTCCATAGCTGAAGGAGAAATATTTACTGCAGTTAAATAAGGAGTGAAAGCACAATGCAAATAAATGTCAGGTTAGATGCTGCTTAAGGCGAAAAGGAAGGAAATTGAGGATCCTATTGCTTCAAACCAGATAAAAAGTAATGCTAATGTCATTAATGATATTCCTGGGTAAACTCAGGTTTGCCAAAGCTAGTCCATCATTGTGAAATATTTTGTCTCTACTTTCAGACAGAAGTACTCTATGTTAACTAATGCCTCCTTAATGCCTCCTTTAGCTTATGTTATTTAGGGTTTCCAAAGAAAACAATTTCCATTCATATTCCATAAAAGCAAACTCATGTTCTGCTGCTATTAGCTGAGCTTTAACTTTATCCAAAGCTCAGGTCTCACTTAAGAAAACCAGTTTTAGATGTACTAGAGCATCAATCCATATCAATCTATATTGTAGTACTTATGATGAATAAATTGATTTTCTCATTGCTCTATGCTGCCTAAAATTATTCGATTATGTATTTAGCTGCTAATGGAAACTCATTAGTAGATTTTCATTTCATGCTTGCTTGCACCTGCAATCCATTTCTTCTTGTCCAAAGGACCATTTCATTTAGGTTGCATGCAATAAATTGTCTTGCATATAAACTGATAAGCATCAGCCAAAATTCAGTATACGTGGTCTGAAATAGCTCAGGGCCATCATTTTTACAACAGCATCATTAAAGCAACAGATCTCCAGTGATTCATTGCCATTTTTTACTGTGCATATTGATGGCATTACTTACCTCTTAGTTCACTGTTTGATTTTGTTATCTTTGCAGTGACAGTCCCTTAACATCTTCCCCCTCACTCTTCCCTGGAGTCCTCCCAGAGTCCCACAAGGCTCCTGTCCATCTTTTTTAACCTGAAGATGGGACACGCAGGGAAGTACCCACCTGACCTAACCTTGGGCACTGAGTTTGGATGCAGGAATTTGAATTTTTGCTATCCCCATTAAAACGTCAGTAGTTCTGAGCTTAGCCGAGCGATGGCAGAGCAGTAGGGCTGGGCGAGATATTTAAGCCACAGACACATTTTCCTGCAAGAGAAGGAAAACATCACCAGTCCCACAGGGGGCTCAGATTCAAAGAAAAAGGACACCAGAATTGTCATTGTAATGTCATCATAATCATCATCACAGTAAAGGTCTCTGTCGTTCAATAAAACCAATAAAACATACGCTCAATAGGCACTTGTCTTATTTGGAGGAATACAGTGTCATTTGTTTCTGAACACCATCCTGCCCTAACCAAGCTGAATCCAGCTACTGTGCTGTCTGGTCAATTTTTTATTTTTATTTTATTTTATTTTTGGTTTTGTTTCTTTGTTTTAACAATACAAGTCAATTAGACAGACTTTTGACTGCAGAGATCAAAGGAGTATATTTTTGGCCATAAAGATTTATGGCCTCCCAGCTTCTCCTGTGGGCAATGCTTGGACGCATGCAAAAAGCTCTTTGGTGGGTACAAATGGATGAGAGGCTTTTTTAGGGGATGTCTTCAAAGCAGTTGCAACTAGTGACAATGTTAAAAACTGAGGCACAAATCTCAGCTAACCCCCACACAGGTGAAACAGCAGAGCAGATGTCCCAACGTACCCGTTCAGTGTTCCTTCGGGCATTTCCAGCTCAGCCACAGCCCCTCGAGCTGCACCACTGGCTGCCGGTGACACGTCTCCTGCTGGTAGAAACACAAAGGAAGACATCCAGAGATCAGAGGTGCAGGAGCAGCAGAGAACTATCACTTCATCATCTGAAGGTTCTGGGCTTATGTTGGGGTTTTGAATTAAAAACAAACAAAAACCAGCAATTAAAAGCAACCAACAAATGAAACCCAAAGAACAACATCCTGGTTAATGAAGCAGAATCTGATCATAAGAACTGTCACGTTTTATTTTATATATAAATAAAATATAAAATATTTTTTATTTTATACATTATATATATTATTTTATTTTATTTATTATATAAAATATAAGAGCTGATTCTGTTAGTATTGTGTGCTAATATAGCCCCTGCACAGAAAAAAATACAATTGCTGCAAAAATATCTATCTTATTAATGCGCTTAACTCGCTGAGGGTCAGACTGCATTCCCCCAAAAATAACTGAGAACAGGCATAGATTTTGACTGTATTTGTTAAGTGGCCATGATCAATAAAAATCTATTTTTCAATTGAACAGAAGATGCTGTTTGTATGTGTGTTGCCTCCAGGCCAAAATAGTTTTGAGTGAAACTGGATTCCGGAATATAAAGTTGTGTTGTTTTTGCTCTGGCTCTTAAATGAGCCTTACCAGCATGCAACTGCAATCCTTGTGAACTCTGCAGATTAAATTTCCTTGCTGTAATGACCACTAGGAATTAGTGAAATGTTAATCTTCCCACCTGCTGCGTATGATTATACATGAGTCTAATCAACCTGATTACGAAAGAAAGCAATTTCTGCTTTTATGGGTATTTTTTGTTGTCTGCTTTTTGTTGTTGTTCGTGAGGAACTGTAAAATTCTTACCCATATTTTAAAGGGAAAATAATAATTAAATTAATATATCTAAAAGCGAGCAATGGAGGCTGCCCATAATTGCTTTACAACAGATACAGTAATTGATGCTCTGAGGATTTATTTCAAAGCACAGAAGTCGAATTAGAAACCTAGCTTTATCTGGATTTGCGTTGCTTTGATGAAGTCACTGTGTCTCTGTGTCTTGATTCTTAGCTAAACAGCTTTTAATGAGAATGCTAATAATTATAAAAACTAAATTGTTTTAGGAATCCAAGAGTATAGAACACAAATTTTGCTTTTCCCTTAAAGATACAACCTCAGCTGTGGCACCTTTCTGCTGTGAGCCCTGAAACATGCTGCATGGGGCAGGAGGGACGGAGTTATCCACGACAGTTATTTGATGCACTGAAGGCAGATTAGAAAGACAATCTAAAAAGCTTACTTGTACATCTTGTGCAAAATACTTGCTTGAACTCACATGTATTGACCTAAAAAAAAAAACACCACCAAAAACAATAAAGTAAAAAAATACCACAGTAGCCTTCTGAACAGGTATTGCACTGCAGTTACTATTTATTTTTTTCCTGAAATCTGAAATCCAGGAAAATCCAAGTTAGAATACAGAAAGATGAGAACACAAGGAATGTAGAGAAAGCCCCAGCAGGCTGTTGTAGTGCTCTAGCCATCTCCCCAAATCGCTGCTATCTTCTCAGCAGCGCCGAGACCCTGAGCCTCAGCTTTACCCCTAGCACCACCACGGTCATCCCCGTGCTTGCACATGGCATGGACACATCAAATAATCCCTGGATTGGAAACCAGAATGCCAAATCATCTGATCCCATATATTATAGCTAGTTATCTGAAATCATTCAGAACCTGATGAGCCTCATTCCACAGGCAAGCTTAATATACCCGGAGAAATATGATGCCAATTATGAAACCAGTGTTTCTCAGCACTTTGCATGCAAAGAGCAGGAGATAATCGGGGGTCTCCATGGTGACAGCGTTAAGGTAGCTGGGTTACCTGAATGATAATTTCCATCCCTTCGTCTGATCTTCACGGGTTTTTCACTTTTCATCTTTGACTCTGAATTTGTTAGGTTTCTAATGGGAAGGAATTGACAAATATCCTCGTATACCTTAGAGGAAAAGCAAATGTTCTATCACAGATAATCCTCCAAGTTAATTCACCTTAACAATTTTTGCAGGGCGAGCTGCTCGTGGTAGTGGAGAATTTGCCTTCTACACACATCCAGCTCTAAATTGGACCAGGGACAGGGGAGACAGCACCTTGCTAAAGCAGATCTCCAAAAACTCATAAAGGAAAGCTCCTTCCCCCAAACCAGGGCTTGGGGTGGCCCAACCCCACTCCTCCAAGCACAGAGGTCCACCGGAGAGCCCCTGGATAAACTCTCGTCCTCTTTATCTCTGCCTAGTGCTCCCACAGCAGCATGAAAAGCACGCCAGGAAATTAACGTACGCTCGGGCCAGGGCTATCATAATTTGTAATGCCCTTACCCAATTCACATCGCATTTTGGAGAACAATTCCACTGAGATCTCCAAGTAATCCATCACCCCGAGGCAGCACTGCCTCCCCCTGATTTCAGCGAGCAGTGCCCCTCAGGGTGACAATGCCGGTCGGTGGCTCCTGGGCTGGAGGCGGCCACTGCCTCTCTCCTCGTGCTCTTCAGCCCGCTTATTAGGAAAGCTGAGCATTTTGCACTTGGGCTCATTAAAATCTTCAATACCTTAAATAATGCTGCTCCCTGCCCAAGGGTTTAACAGGACGGGGCCTCCTTATGACGTTATTTTCCATCCTTGTGCTGGATGCTCTGGTGAGAAATGCACTGCCCGGCCACGTGCTGCTGTTCGCAGGGAGCAGAGAACAAAAGGGAATGCCAATTGCTGTGCAATCACCCAATTAACTTCTGTATTTTTGGTTTTAATCTAGTTCTGCTCCTTGCAGAAATAAATACAATAGATCATTAACGCTGATGTTCCTAATGCTGTGCAGTCACCTTCCCCGCCTCTCCTTGAAGTGCTGTGTTATTTAACACCTGGTAGGAGATTTAAAAGCATCTTCATCTGACTTCCAAAATTAGGGCTAAGTTTAGCTTCTGTAGGTAACAATTTCTGCTTAAACTTTAATAAAGAAGTATGTTTAGAATCTCAGGGGCACACTCTCTGCTCATTTGAAACAAATGAGGATTATATAAGGAGGAACACGAGCTACAAATAGGTTTCATAAAATTAATTGGCTCTAAGCTGCTGCTGAGCAGAGCTGAGCCAGCCCAAGCGACAAGTGGCCTCAGGGTGCCCGCTCCTCCTGGGCAGCTCCGAGGGGCTGCTCCGAGGGCAGGGAGGTCCAGCCTCGATGCTGAGCCACTCCTGTGGGCTCTGGCTCTCAGGGCTCCAAATCCATGCACACCCTGCAGGGCCTGGGGACCTGTATGGCTTCATACCTGGACTGCATGTTCTTGGAGTATTTCCATCTATGGGCTCCAACATTTTAAAACTCTGCCTCACCAGAATACCGTGGGTGCTGCAAAGCCAGGAGCAGCACGCAGAGGTTTTGCATCCTGCAGAGTCCTTCCATACCGCTTCTATTGAATACAGAAATTGCAGCACGCACTTAAACATGCAGTTAAATGTTTAATCCCACCCGCTTCTCCACCCCAAAATACTCTAACCCTGACGTGGGGATGGGAGCAGAGGCTCTGCAGCCTCTCTTCGTGGGGCAAACTGCAGCTCTGTGCTGGGAGGATCGGTTACGTCTGCCATGCTCTGAGGAGTTAACATAAAACTCAATCTAATGGCATTTAAAAAACATATATATATATATAAATCTATCTATATATAATATATAAATATTTATATAGTTTATATATATAATCTCTCTCACTCATGTATATATATATATAAAATCTAAAATAGCTTGCACATGTTTTTCCCTTGCAGAGCTCTTTATTTACAATCGCTGAGATAAGCATGCTAATTTCTGCCAAGACGTGCATCCCACTGACTCCCATCTTCTCTCGGTGCAGGTATCACAAAGCCCAGCTCGGGCTAGGCTCCCAGTAGCTTTTCACCAGCAAAAGAAGAGCAGAAGCTGAGCATTGGGCCAGCACCCTACACAGCGAGGTGAAAGCAGGGAACAGGCAGAGGCCCCGAGCAGATGGGGCGCTGCCCTGGGCTCTGAGCAGCAGGACCACCACCGGCCGTGCTGCCCTGCAGCCCTGCCCCTGGCTCCAAACCCCAGTGCTGGAAGTACAATGACTGAAAAAGACAAAATCTCTTGATTTTTCCTTTCTCTGAAAACTCTGTCTATGAAGGGAGTCTGTAGTTCATTAATAGCTACTGAAATTATCCCTAATTTCCCAGCTGTTTTACGCACTATCATTGACATTTTACTCAACGGCATAATCACCCAGGACAAAATAGGATTTGTGATAATGTCCTTGCGTAATGAACGTACCAAAATGGCTACTAATGAAATCGGGAAGAAGAAGCATGACCATTTTCCTGCATTCCCCCCTACCTAGTACATTAAGAATTTCTGTCGCCCTTTCCAGGCCACCAGGGCAGGCTGACACTCCTCCTCATCAAGTTAAAGCAGCCAGCATCCACAGCAAGCAACAAACCCCAAACCCCCATGTAACAAATGGCATTTCTCAAGACGTAGACATTTGAGAAATGACATTTCTCAAGATGCTTCTCAATGACCAAGTTTAATACATGTAGTATTTCTTTCCAGATAACCCCCCCTACTTGGACGTCCCCATGACCGAGGACCAACAGGAACAGCGTGTGCTCTGAAGGGCTTCTGGGCAAAACAGAAGGGATGGGGTCTACCCGGCAAGAAAATGAGGCTATAGGGACTGACACGGCAAACACTGGTGCCAGGTGGTGTCACCAGGCACTGACAGGACGCAGCTGAGTCACGGCACTGAATTATTGCTCATCTCTAACCTGCATTAATTCACTAACAGCAACAAACAGCTACTGAGTAAGTACTGCCTGGGACAAGTCCTCCATCAACCCGAACTCCTCCCATATTTTCTTAGAGGCTGTCCCCAATTCCTGCACACTCTGCGTGCTTTACACTGCCTGGAAGAGTCATTAGAGGACCACCCAGTCCTCTTGGGCCCCCTGTATGTCTGGGTTCATGCCCACACACAGCAGCAGTCCTCAGCCCGTCAATACCCAAAGAAACAAGACGCACATGTGTTTTCTCAGTAATCCCACAGAAAGAAGGTTTAAATTCCCCTTTAGATTTCACAGTGTCTGGGAGGCTCGCAACTATTCCGACATAGTTTCTATTTAAAGAGAGTGAAACCTTCCCCTGTTGAAGATGTACTATTATCAGGTATCATCTGCTCCTCCGTGCCACCCCCACACACACTGAAGTAATTGAGAAAGTCCTTGTTGACAGATGACTGTGTACAGAGGATAACAGGCACCAGCGTCACTCCTGGAGGAAAGGGAAGCTGGAGCTGTGACAAACCAGCACGGCACCGACTCCTGCTGCTGGGAAGCACACTGTCACTCCTGCTTTGTGCAACTTAGTTCATAGCTGTCAGGCCAGGCGTTCACTCACGTACCTGCTGTAATAAAATTAGTCAAAATTGTATCTTCCCCCGTAGCATGGCAAATATTTTCATAGCTAAATGTTTCAGTCTTAGTGCAAACACATTACTCTGGCAGATGTTACAAAAGACAAATGGAATAATGTCGTGCTGCTTTATATAATCCCATATCTGGAAAAAAACGCTGCCTGTATGTGTGTGTCAGTGTAAATACACACCATTTAACACTCAAGTAATAAAAATCCAAACAGTTTCAAATCTTGCCAAACATCTAACCTTTTCCTTGAAGCGTCAAAACTTCATCGCACAGCTCATAACCAGTAGCCATCACACAAAGTATAACACTGCTTCCTGAGCCTGGGACTTAAAGGAATATTTAAAACAAAACAAAACAAAAACACTTTGAAAGAAAACACTTGTACAGCCTTCAAGATGCCATTGGAATATGCCCATCCTCAAGGGATGCTAAACAGAAATCATGGTCCAGTTTCTCGGCTGGAGTTAGATGGGGAATTCACCACCCCCTGACAACTTTTCGGATGGCTTATAGACAGAGAGGGAAGAAAAGGGACGTTATACCTGCACGGTAGAAAGACAAGGAAATATTTGCTTGAAGCAACTCACAGCAGGAAATGCCCACGGCTGCCTCTGCCCCCACTGCTCCACGGGGACCTGGGGGGGTCGTGCAGCCGAGTCACCTGGGCACCCCAATGTCACCCCTATATGATCTGCCAGGCAGGGCCACGGAGGAGCCAGCACCCCATGCGCCAGCACGCCCTGGTAACCTCACCTGGCATCATCCTGGCCCTGAAACCACGGCCAAAGTGCTGGAAACCAGAGCACGGCGCATTGCAACGCAGGGAGCGCATCCTGCACGCTTCCTTGCACAAAGTAGGTGACCCATTTTCCGCACGTATTTTTGGAGCGGTTGATTTTCTAACCTTTCCTCTCGTGTGACGCAGGGGACAGCCCTGCTGGTGTTTTCCTCCAGTAATGGGCTCATTCTGCAGCAACGTGCCACAAAGCCGCATGAATTCTCAGTCCTGCTCCCGCTAAAGCTAATGGCAAAACCCCTGACGGTTTTGAGGAGGCCAGGACCTGGGTTCAGCCACCTTCTGCTCCAAAGCAAAGAAAGCACACGCTTTTCATTGAGCCTCTTCAGACACAGAATGCTATTCAAACACATTTACCTTTTCTGAACGGATGTCTTCGGCTGGAACCTCACAGACAAGCGCAGAGGGTTTATCTAGTGGTAACAAAAGCCTCGTGGCATTTCTTAGATGGAAAGAAACCCGTGTTTAGCAATTATTCATAGCCTTACACACATTCCTGCAGACAGTCAAGCTGACTTGGCAGACTGAAGCTAATTGGGTTTACAGGAGAATGAAGCTTTGATTGAAGTGCTTCGCTTAAAAAATTACATACGCACCCCCACACCCCTGATAACGTTACTCTCGAGCATGTAAAACAACCACCCCACATATTAGCAGAGAAGAAACGCTGACTTTTTTTATTACTTTACCAACCAAAGACCCACAAGTGAATAATTCTGAAATGTTTGATCTGCTGTATTCTGCTGCATAATTTAGCGGCTGCAGAAGGGCTGCGTGCGGCTGGCATTTCGGGCTGCTTTTGAAGTTCACAACAGCCCCGCAGTCACCGGGGGGTGGGACCCTGCTCGGGGTGGGCACCGAACAAAAGGTGGGTGGGAAACAGCTCCAGAGCTAATGCACAGAAAGCGGTTATGAGAAATTGGCTAAGGGAAATTAATGTAGCCTCAAGTTTACCGAGTAAATAATTCAGATTCTACCGCGGTGATTTATGAAAATAAAAAGCCTTAACGAGCTCAGCAGGCAGCAGGTGCTTCCATTTTTACATGCTAAGAGCAAAAATAAAAGGGCAGGAGCTTTTGCTTCATTGGGCTTTTTTCCTATTTCATGGTTATAGTTTAAAGTAAAAGAGCTCCAACGTGCCTCAGGGACATGATATGCTCAGCGATTTTGCTAGTCAGGGAAGGGTCACACCAGTGTTGCCTTCTCTGTTTGTGCCGTGGCTTTCGATTCTGGTGCAGCCACATGGAGAAAGCTTCCAGGTGTTGCTAGGAATTACTGCTTCGAGGGGAAGTTTTACAGAAATAACAACCGACAAGTTTCAGAGGAGAAAGAATATTTCCAATAGCCCTGTGCTGGACAGCACTCAAACCTGCTCGCTAACATGTGCTCTTCAATCCTTTTCCCAAATGAACACGTGCAGAATTACACGCAGGAATTCAGATCATGGACCACATCACACCACCAAGTCTCTGTCTCCGTTGGGAAAAGTCCCAAATAGTCACAGACTATCTACGTTCTTGAAAAAAATGGAAGCACAATGGAGACATGCAAAGAAATCACAAAATAGAAGATGGAAACTGCATAGGAAGCACAAGAAAGAGGAGATGGGGGAAATGGAAAAACAAGCAAATGGAAGTGGAGAGAGACCTTTTACATGGTAAGATGGTGATAAAACAAGGGGGAACAGTTTAAAATTAAAAGGGGAGATTAAGATTAGGTGTTAGCAGGAAATTCTTCCCTCAGAGGGCGGTGAGGCCCTGACCCAGGCTGCCCAGAGGAGCTGTGGCTGCCCCATCCCTGGCAGTGCCCAAGGCCAGGCTGCTCGGGGCTGGGGGCAGCCTGGGCTGGTGGGAGGAGATCCTGCCCATGGCAGGGGTTGGACTGGATGGGCTATGAGGTCCTTTCCACCACAAACCATTCTGTGGGTCTATGAAATGGAAAATGGTGAGCTGAGATGCTTGCAGGAGGCCCACTGACCTGAGAAATTGCTGATGATGCAGGGAAGCAGCCAGGCTGCATTGCCATCTAGTTCTGCCCACCTTATTTATTTAGTTCCAGAGGAAACTTCACAGTCTTCAAAGCCGATGATCTCCCCATCTGCCAGCTTTATCAATCAGCATCCATGCTGCACATCAACACCTTTTGCATTGACTTCCATATGGTTCATTGCATGAAAATGCCTAATTAAGAGGAGAAGATGAGATTTTAGCAAGTAAACCTCATGACTAGCTGTGGAAGAAATGCGAGCTGCAGTGCTAAATCACAAGAGGTGGCAAGCACAGCCAGGGAGGCGACTTTGAAGGCAAACTGCTGCCTAAGAGTATCTCGAGCTCGGAGAGGTTCAGACTTCAAAATTACCACTTCACGTGCCCTGCGTCTGCAGCCTGTCAGCAGGATTTCCCCCGAGAGGCTGAGGCAGGATCCTGGCAGTGCTCGCACAAAGCTTTGTCAGATCAAAAAATCTACCAGACAGTGATTGCAGATCAGAGCAGCTTACGGCTATTAAACCCAACAATTTGCCACTCTCCAGACGTAAACCGGGACAGTTCACCGTGCTCACACCAATACATGGCACCGCTTCCTGAACGCAGCCCCACATGCGATGGGCTGCTGGACTGGAAATTCAGATTTGTTTTCTGACAATATGTAAAACAGAAAATATGCCCCCCCAAACCCCAACCAGCAGCACATAAAGATGCAGCAGCACCAAGCAGATGGGCAGCAATGCACCCCCGGGGTGGCCTCTGCCTCCCGGCGAGCTCTCACCCTGCTGCAGATCACAGCTTTGAGCGAGGCCGAGGGCAGGAAAAGTGGCTGCTTGTGGCTGTAATCATTTGCTGTAGCTCCTGCAGCCCATAAAGGGCCTGCCCTGGCACATCCCCAGCAGCATGGGCTTTTATTGCCTAGCTGGTGCAACGTGGAGTGAACTTGTAGCCTTGGGAAGAAAGTGAAATTATCTCGTGAGGTTGAAGGGACACGAGGTGTGAATAGACATGACCTCCCTTGGATCAGAAGGGCAGGGAGAGCCTTCCTGCAGGTATTTTTGTGAGCTGGCCGCTGTAAATCCTACAAAATGCCTTCAAACCTCTGCAGCAGGTCCTTAAGCCAAGTTTCCACCAGCTGTAAAGCACCACTCCCCCACATCAGGTTCAGGCAGCACAGAACACAGCCCTGCAGTCCTTTCAAGAGCAGCTTTTATCACCCCATTTAGCAATTCAGCAATTCAATCAGATGGCTTGTGTGCCTTGGGCGATGGCTGAGCAGAGGGCTGGCTTGGGGTGACGTCCCCAGAGGGGCAGAGGTGTGCGTGGCCATGTGGGGACACCGCGGGATGGCTCCGTGACGGGGCCTCGTCGTGGTGCCCGGCTGCGCAGTCACCAACAGACATTGCCGTGGCTGTTGGAGGTCATTTGGCCAGCCTTAAAACCAAAGAAATAAACTCGTTTTTATGGCACGATACATAAACTGCCTGGCTTCTGCTGGGAGCCTAAATTTGGGCCGTTGGGTTGATTTGGTTGGATGCCAGGAGTGAGGGCATCGTTCGGAGCCACGAGGCATTTTTCTCCTTGGAAGGGTGGATAACTGAGTCTATTAATCTGACAATACATTTAAACTGAGTTATTGTGACAAGGGACTTCCATTATCCATTTCATCTAGTTGCAAACTGTCAGAATAAATCTCAGGGGGTTAGGGAAAAAAGCTGCCTTCCTTTGTTTGCTGCTTTATATGCCACAACAGTTTAGATTTGGTTCACTCTAACTCATGATACTGTGTAACTGTACAGGGGGGAAGCTCACTGGAAACCTAGCATAGCAAATGTTAACTTTATGCTCATCAATGTGTTTTTTTTATTATTACTTCCAATTTTATTATTATTATTTTTAATTAAGGAGTAAGGACAGCAAAATTTGACCCCCTAGCAGAATCATGGCATTGCCTTCAATGGCCTTTCTCCTTTTACATAGATTTTTTAATGATAACTTTTCCTCCCTCTTTAATCGATATCTTCAGAACTGATAAAGCAGTTTCCTAATGCTCTGCTTTTCTCTCCCTTGTAAAGCATTTTGAGTTAAATAGCTAAACCTCTCATAACCAGAGATTAATCAAAATAAGTTGTAGATGAGTAAGAAATGGTATTGTGCTTAAGACATCAAACTGGCATTCAGAAGACTGAGACTCAATATTTTGATCCTACTGCTGACTTCTTATGTGTTGGGTGACACTTGGCTATCAGATGAAACATCTTCCCCATTATTTGCTTATTTTTGTAACTGAGCCTGTTTTAGTAAAAGAACAATATTTTACTGTCTTCAGCTCCTTGGCCAAATCCAAGCTGGTAGCAGGCCAAGCAGTCAAGTGGCCAAAGAGGTTGGTGCTACGGCCCCTCGGTGGCTGAAGATCTGCTTGGGCACTGGTGGAGGAGGAGCTGCTTGGTTTGGGAAAGCCAACGCCACTCTTGGGCTGCCAAGCCAACATGCAAAACTCGCCATAACTTCAATCATGCACGTGCTTATGTGTGTATAGGTGGCTGGAAGCTGCACAGCGGCGTTTCACAGGAAGAGGGGCTGTGATATTTACAAGCTTTTGTTGAAGCAAATAGTCCAGTCACTCCTATTACATCAAATATATCAAATATTGGAGCTGGAGGCAGTGACAAAAAAAATAATAACAAAAAAAATCTGGCCATCTTGAAATCTTTTATACGTTAGGTTAATTTGTTAAAAAGCCTCCACGAAGAAATAAACATTGCTACTTCAACTGATTTTAATTCTATCCTCTCAGCACTGTTCCTGTGAAACAATGAGAACTCTAATTCATGATCTTCCCCAAAGTCATCGTTTGGTCTCAGGAGGTGGTCGGAAGCTCAGTACAAAATGTCAGTGTCACAACTTCACAGCTCTGCGCTTGGTTTTGATCAGATCTGGGAAGTGAGAAGGGATGCAATATTCTCATTCCTTTACTGTCACTGCAGAGTATTCATTAGTTTTAATTATTTTTTAGGTTCTAGGGGGAACCATTAAAAAATTAATCACAAATGGAAAGAACAGAAGCCGTATGTGGCCATAAAAAGACAATAAAGCATTTTAAGATACACACTTGTTATGATTTATACTCAAAACAGGACCAGAGGTAGCATATGGTGGATGCCATAAAATAACATTTATTATAAAAGCATGGAGATTTATCTCCAAGCTTGGTTGTATGTAAGAAGTTGCATTTATTTTAACTTATATTCAGATTCCTGCTGTAATATCTTTTTTTTTTTTTTTTTTTTTTTAACTGAGCCAGCTTGCTACAATCCTCATACTGTTGTACCTATAAACATTTCCTTTCTGCAGACATTCTCTTCATTGACTTCAGATGCACCTTGCATACATTTGGATTTAGACACAAACCAGCTCCCGTTCAGGGGCAGAAGCTGTTCACCAGCTGTGTGCTCACCTTCTGCCAACAGCCCAGACATCTCCATTGACTTCAGCCAAGGACTCCATGTGCCCATAAGGATCCTCTGATTGATTCAAGGTTTGCTTTAGCTTCAACATCTCAAACCTAGTAAACTGATAAGGGAACAATTAACCGGGTATTCTTATTTACTGTAAATAAGAAAAAATGGTATGTGAAATTATCACGTTAGCTGCGTCTTGCTGGCCAAATCCTAATGGCAAGGAGGAACACCAGAAAAGAACAGAAACCCACATGAGAGAAACGTCTCCAAGAAGGTGGCACTAAGGGCACGGAGCTAACAACATGCCCCGTACAGATTTCCACCTCCCTGTATCCCCAGACAGCAAAAACAGAGGCAGGACCACCCCAGTCCTGGTGCAACACCCAGCTCCTGCTGGATTTAAATGTTCACAGGCACCAGCCAAGAACAGTTCCAAGTGCACAACCAAGTTCTGCTTTCACAGACTGTGAAAGGACACAGAGCTTTTAATTCAGCAGTACCAGACTAAAGCGGAACTGCCTCGAGAAGTGACCCATAGAAATAAATGAATGCTGGGCGGCCAAGATATCGAAATGTCGCAAGACTCTCCTCATTTATTTAGCATCCAACTCAATACTTTTAATTCCCCCAAGCCAGTCCACAGCAACCTACACTGATATCCTTAAATGTCAGAGCAGAAACAAGCCAGGCTGGCACAGGACTCGCCTGCCGCTGGGGAGCGAGGCTGGCTTTAGAAATGCAAAACCAAGAGCTGCTCACAGCGGTGGCACAGGTGCCTCTCCCCCTTCCCCTGCAAGTCGCACAAGCAGAAAGGTCACTGGGTGCCCGGGCAGAAATGCACAGCCTCTCCTCTGCTTCACGTGAAATAGCACCCGGGCAATAAACCCAGCCTGCCGGCATCGTTCCTGCCTGCTGAGCGTGGGTAAAATTCATCTCGAGAGCTGCTCATGGAGTTTGAGCCTTGGCTGTGAGAGGTGCTGGCTCCTGGCACCACGAGAGGAAGCACTGCAAGGCAGAACTGCGATCCTACACAGCTCGCGTGGCAAAGCTGCACGGAGCCTTCCCCAGCAGACAAGGATTCCTTCCCAAGGGGATCTTCCTTCCACAGCAAAGACTTCAAGCCATCCTATCTACCTAGTCTAAAAAATATAAAAATAAAGAAAAGCAACGCCCAGCGCTACGGGTATCATCTGCCGCTTGCTGTTCCTGGCTTTATCGTCTACCCTTTTTTCCTCTCCAGTTTAGCTGTGTGTGACGTCTGGAAGACAAAAAGGTCAAAGCTGTACAACAACTGCTGTCTCCTCTCCTTCCCGACAGCCCAACAAAAACACAAGAAGTGGACTTCCAGTTTTTTAAAGGAAAGGGAACTGTTCCACCTCATCTGAAGGCTTCTTAGAAGCTTTCATAAACCCAGTCCTTGCACCATGCACAAAGACATTATTTTTTATTTACTCCTGTTTCTGTAGAGGTTAGAAACATCTGAGCATTTCCTCAGGGAGCTTTCTCCTCAGCACTGAACTTCTTCATATTCCCGGCTGCTGGCTAAAGACCATGGAGTGCTCACGAAGCAGAGCTGGATCACCATCCCAGCCAAGAAATGCCCACACAGCCAAATACCAACCAAGACATCCCCTCCCAGAAACAGGCTTTCATTTCTCCTCACTGTGGCATGCTAAGATGAATTTAATGAAACCAGACAGATTACCAGCACTTATTCCAGACTATTCCACACAGCTCCTGCAACGTGCTGCGAAACTCGTGGTAGGTGCCAGCAGAGATGTAGCATTTAAACACAGACCAGACCCAGGGCGTGAAGGGCAGAGGCAGACGTATTTATGGAATGCACGCCCAAATGAATCACGTCTGATATCATTTTTCTTCCTTTGGCGTAATTACAACCAGCTTTAAAATAACGTGAGGTTTCTTTGAATGGGGGTATTTATTTCAGTTAACTAATATAAAGCATCAGATCTAAAAAGTGCTGGAGGCAAGGGATTGGGTTATTTAGAATTATTCTGCACTAGAATTACACTGGCTCCATAGTCCTATATTGTGCTCAGACATTATATGAAATTAAGCACAACAGGGAGAAAGAATCAATCAGTCCTGGCTAAGGAATTGAGATAATAATGACTCATTTGACGGGATTGCTCTGGAAAATTAATAATGACGGTGGTAATTACTAACCTGGGATAGCTGCAGTGCTCATTATTCTCCTTTTACTCCACTGAATGTTAAGTATTATGAAGACGTCTGTTAGAAACGCCGTCTTGTCCGCGGGCTTTCAATCACAGACAAGGGCTCTCCGAGAGGGCTGAAATCTGTCCTCCTTTTACACTCACCGGGAAACAAGCCCCAAGCAACTGCAAGTATTTGATATATGGCATAGAAGGCCACGAATACAATATTATTTGTAAGAGTTGAGCTCCTGCAAGCCTGATCCCTGACAGCTCTGCTGCCTTTGCTTCCCCTTGACCAAGGAAGAGCTGATGCATCCCTGCAGACCCCATTTCATTAACTGCTTTATCACCTGTGCCAGCGACCAGTCTTCCTGCTGCCCACCAGCCATCAGCTCCTCGAGTGAGCCAAAGCCAGGAAAGGGACCGGGCTCCCTCCTGCTCCAGGGCAGCAGCTGAAGAGGAGCTTCTGGGGCTGGAAGACAGTGCTGTAATATAACCGGGGAGAGATATTAGCCTCTAAAAAGCTGAGAGTGACTAAAAATAAGAGCGTCTCGCAGCTGTGCTTTCAAACATCTGTTCCACACCCCACGGAGTGCATGCAGCACTTATTTATATTTTAAGTGGATCAGCATAGTGTTTACCTTATGTTGAAGAGCAAGCGATGAAAGCGAATGCCCTGTAATATGCAGGAAGATGATAAAAAAATAAAAAATAAAAAAAAAGTAGTTCTACAGCAATGTTAAAAAAAAAAACACAGTTCTTTCTTGATGTTGAAGGAACACAAATTTCTAGTTGTCTGAGCAAGGCAGAGCTTCCTTCCAGCAGCAGCTACCCTTCTTGAGCAAGGAATTTTGGATTCCTTGTCACCTTTGCCAATTACTCCCTTTATCCTGCCAAATACTCCTTTTCCCAGCTGATTTAGCCCCAAATTGCTTTCAGCCCTATGAAATGGGCTCTTTTAAGGACCCTATCTGCATGTCCCTGGTGCGTTACTTTAATCACTCCACACACACCATAACTCTGTCACTGATCCCATCTTTTTCTGTCAAGATGGTCAAACACGCAATTTTTCCAGAGGGATTCAGAGATTTAAATGTCAAGAAAAGGGGCCGTGAGCTCTGCTGGGGTAAAGGGAGATGCTGATGATTTCTATCTGCAGTCTCTGCCTTCAGGTTTCTTGTTCAGCTCCTTGACAAACCCACTGTCACCCAGGCTTGTCGCGGCGCCCTGCATACATCCAATTATCTGGGCACAGCACGGCTTGACAAAAACAATCCATCCATACAATCCAAAAAAAAAATCCTTTAGATTAAAAATCCACATTTCTGTTAAAACTCTCCTTCTCTGTGGCCAGGCCTGATGCTGGCTCCTTAATGATATGGGACTGCACCCTCCAAGGAAGTGGGATTGGGGTTGGGGCTCTCCAGGGCTGGTGCTGCATGCATTGAGTGGTTTGTCTGGATAATTTGAGCAGGACTGAGGAAATACCCAAACAGGCTGTATTTGCAAAGTTCCCCTGCTGTGTTAGCCCTGCCCACTGCCAAGTATTGAAGAAATAATCATTGTTAAAGCTCACTTTGTGCATTAGGAGGTGTCACAGTATTTAAGAGAGGAGGTTGGTGAAATTAAACGAGATGCACATGCAGTACATCAGTAACCCAAGAATTACAAAGACCTTGCAGCCATCAAGACAACGTGACCAGAGACCTGTCCATGAATCCTAAGACTCAGCAAGTCTCTGTCAAACTGACTTTGTGCTCTGCATCTGGTCCTCGGAGGAAATGTTTAACTGCAGTCACACCTGGGCGTCAGCAGCCTTCCATAAAGCATTTACAGAAATCTCTCTGGCAGCATTTCCATTTCCTGAAGGGTTCAAGAGCAAATGGAGTTAGCCCAAGGAACTTGGGGGACACAGGCTCCATGTCCCGTGTGTCTTTTTCAGTCTCCCTGTAAGCAGTTGTACAGAGCTGCCTCTAGCAAAACGCTTCTCATTATTAGCTTTCCCAACAGAAAAGGATATATTTGGGAATCTGAGTTCGACTGAGTACTGAACATTGAAGATAACTGGCCTGAATGCCGGAGAAATCCATCAGTTTGGAGGCAGAGATCCTGAAGCAGGGATGAGCAGAACAGCTCTGCAGAACAACAAACGCCTTTTGCTTCTTATCTGAACTACAGGAACATGTTAAAACACAGGTTCTGCTCACAGCTGCGCTTAGCAAAGACCGAAATAGTCATCTTTACAGTCACTTCCACCTGGAAGGATGTCACCTGCAAGCACATTTCAAGAGGAAGCCCAATTTTAGCAAATTTATGATCGTGAGTGACTGCAGTGCTTGACATGATCCATGTCTGCTTCGTGCATTTCCTGCTTCAGCAGAAACAAAGGTACCGAATTTCTGCTCAGAAGTGCGTGCAAGCTCAGAGAGTTAATTATTGTAATTATCAATTCAACAGACTCAGAATGCTAATCTATTATAAAGTGGTCTGTTAATTGGTGTTAAACTGTCATTAGGCTGCCATTTCCCATGTTATCAAGCTGACCCGAAGCACAGCAGAGCTGAAAAACCAATCCATTCCTCATTTCTGACAAAGGCTGATTACTGATTCGGAGAAGAAGAAAAAAAAAAAATCTACATACCTGGAACTGAAGTCGTTCTACCAACAAAGGAAAACATCGTTGTGCTGCTTTGAATTCAGTATTTAAATTCCTTCGGTACCTGCAGGGCGGCAGAATTAAAGACTGGGGTGAACATCAAGAAAAGCCATGCTCAGCACCTTACCTGCCCCGGGAATCACTCAGATGTCACCCAGAGAAGTCCCTGGGGAGGTTCAGGAATGAGGGGCAGGTGCCAGCCGGGTCTCCTCCACCTGGCTGCCTTCTGCCAGCCCAGGCTGCCAGCCTGGCTTCAGTTTCCAGCAGAAGTGCAGGCAAAATTTTGGCTCCCTCACCTCTGAGAGTTCAGTGATAAAACCCAGGTGCCCGGGAGGGCAATGAACTTCAATTTAAGTATGTTGCAGTAAGGAGAGACTGCATTTAATTTCAAGCCATTATTGGGCAAAGCAGCGCTGCTGGCTGCTCTCCCCAGAAGCCGCCGTGGCACGACCTGCCGGAGCGCTCCTCGGGTACCTCCCGTGACTGGCATTTCTCTCTGCTAACATTTCTTTCTTTTTATTTTGTTTTATTAAGCAGCCAACTTTAAAAGTTCAGGGGAACTCACAATGACCTTTCGAAAGTCCAGAAATGATTCATTGCCTGAAACGGTTTCGGTCTGGAGCAGTCTCTGCAATACTTATTCACCTGAATATTCCCTGGCTCTCCCTGAGACAACCCACGGTGCCCATCTGGGCATCCCTTACCGCAGGATGCAGGGCAGAATTTTCTGACTTGACAGATGGGTAAGAGTTTGAGCAGGGAGCAGTGAATTTTCTATATGCTACTCAGAACCTCTTGGTGCTCAGGTACCCTTAAAATCTGGTCTTGGACACTATATAGAAGAGAAGACTGAGAAAGCCCATGGAAATGGTGACCTGCTTTTACTGACTCCCCTTCATCCATGTTTTAGAAATTGCTAGGATAACAAACTTTGTCATTTAGGATTATTTCCAGTTCTTTTTGCTTGTCTTTGTACTCCTTGCCAGTGCACAGCTGTTGTTCTAGCCCGTTTCTGTTGCTTTTCACTTTCCTTCCAGCATCCCTCCATCACCTGCCTTTGCACGTTGAAATACCAACCAGAGCGCTGGAGAAGAAAAAAAGGAAAGAGGTAAAACTTTCAGTGCCATCAATAATAACCCTAGGATCTTGATGGTCTTTCCTAGAAGTGGGAATCCATCTAATTCAGATGTCTTTGACTACTGATGGTTATTATTCCTCCATCCAGGCTTTTCTGAGACCCCTGACTATTTGTCACTTTCTCTCCTTCCAGTGGCAGAATACCTGAGTGTACCTGCCTGAGCCTCATTTCTCCTTCACCTCAAAAATTGTGTGAACCTTCAACTGGTTGATACCCTTTACTGCCACACAGATGCTCATCCACAGGAAATTCCCATTTATTTCAATCTGCAAGACCCAGTTACGCTGATAAACCGACCCACGTGGCAACAAGCCACCCCGTCCCTGTTCCTTGGTAACAGATAAGCAAGAGGCCAACATCACTTCTGTGCAGAAAGCCTAGCCCACAAATTGCCCACCTAGCAATATGACTTCTTTGTCAGCATCCTCCAGCTGAACTGGAAGTCAAATTAATTCTCGGAGCAGACAGATACATCTTCAAAGAGCTCGAGCGCCGATCATCAGCGCTGTCTGTCAGCTTCCCTCTCTCTGAATAATTTCCTTGGCAGCAGCTGCTGCACAGAACCGTACGAACCCATGCAACTTTCACACGTCGTACTGAGCATTATGCAGTGGTGCCGCTGACCGCGGGGTTTTGGCAGGAGATTGGAAAACCAGCAGTCCTCAGCTTTTCCCCAGCCTTCCCTATCACAGGCAGAATTTATTGTTGCTGGGAAACTGTTGCTGGGACATTCACTGGGCATTTAGTTTTGCTTATCTCTTACTCCTCAAAGTGCTACGTGTTCCCTGGCTTTTATCAAATTCTCTCATTACTATTCCATCCATTGCTTACACCTTTGCAGTTCCTCCAGTTGCCTTCATGTGATCTTGCTGCTTTATTTTGTGCTCCTGACTTCAAATCCTGCTTGGCTGAGCATTCTTTTAACTGCAGTGAAGGGAAAATAAACCTGTGCAGATGGAAACCTGGCTCTTCTGCTGTTCACCAAAGTGGGCTCTGCAAGATTGCTACTAGAGGAATCACCTGGTCAGGCTTGGAGATGGCTGGGCATGACGGCAAGGACAGCTGTCAAACAGAGAAATGCCCACTAGAGCCTCCTCTGGGCTTCAGTCAGTCACGTTTGGTTTTACTTCACTTTGTTGATATGCACTGATGTGGTCCAAAATGGATACAGAGAAAGACCAAAGGCAAGTTTTTGCTATTTCAGGAGATAAAGATCTTGCTCAGCATACTCAGAGGGAGCGACTCCCGCAAGAACTGTTCTTTGAGAGAATGAATAAATGAGAAAAATGTCATTGCACTGAGCTGAAATTTGTTCTTAATTACTTTACCATTGAAACCTAAACAAAAAGCCATCCATAATACTATTAAGGAACTGTTTTCATACAGGTAAAATAATTAAAGCCTATCCTTGATATGCTGGTTTGCAATGGACTCAATGCCAGTGACTGTGCACAAGCGCTAACTGCTACTTACTGGAAAAATGGCAACGGGAGAATGCCACAAGGCACGGCATAGGAGCATTATTTCTATTTTCTAAATCTATCAGCCAGAGATAGACAGCCTTCCTTTAACATAAGGCATGCTAAGAGCACAGGGATCTCTCATTTCTTGGATGGCTGGTCAAGACTTACACTTCAGCAGATGCGCATAATAAGTGAGTTCCTTCTGCACTGAATAAATGTCCTGCCTCACAGGCATTTGCTTTTGATACTTCGCTGGCATTGGCTTGTTGGGAGATCAGAGATAGAGAAACTCATAGGACTGGCTCACTTCTGTTTCCTTTGGCAAGAAGTTGGGTGCTAATTTAAAAAAAAAAAAAAGTTGGCTTTTTTATGGGGTGTGTGGGCTGTCAGCCTTATGCTTGCAAAGGCATGCAAGGCTACAGGCAGTGTTTTCATTTTTAAAAGTAAACCCAAAAGGTCCATTCTCTGTTCTCATCAACATAAGTGCTGGAGAGTAGTTCCCGATTAATGACTGTGTCCCAGCTCCTGTTAAAGGTGACAACAGTTCCTCCAGCCCTATTATTTTATAATTTCAAGTACCCAACGAGTCTTTTTTCACATCAGGATACCAGATGCAGTGGCATCATCTATTGCACTGCAGACTCTTGTAAGGAAGCCACTGGAGCAGCCCAGTCAGACAACCTCCCGCTCCCCGTGTAGTTAATTATTGCTGACTGCTCCATCTGCTTTGTCATTACTGCAGCAGTGCCATGCCTTTTCTCTCAAATATATTGATTGAAATGACATATTTTGTACATGTCGTAAGAACCCATAAAAGTCACTGAATTTTAAACTCTTCCCCTCCAACTTGGCTGTTCCAGTTGCGATGCTGGCTTTGACCCTGCAGACCAACACCAGACTATTTAAATTAGTTTCTTTGTGCCTAGGACTAGCTCATTTGTAGCTTTATCAAGATTTATCCATCTGGACAAGGAGCAAAGTAAGGCATGAATTTATAGAGTGCTACTTCTCAGCAGTAATTCTCTTCGTGGGTGCTCCCAGTGTGCCTCATTGAATGCGAGCTTGTTCACCTCCAAGAGGAGTGAATGCCCTGCACGTACCGAACGCATACAAAAACTGCAACCCCTGCATCCTCTGCAAAGACAACAGCAAAAAGGCAATTTGGAGCTGGGGGGAGTTACCTCCTAAGTGATGTCCTTCCCCATTTGCTCCTTTTGCTCCATTTGCTCTCCATTTGCTGTCTGTGAGCACTTGCCCCTTAATTAAAGCATTGAGTTAGCACCGAGCCCAGCTTACCTCTGCAGCACGGCAGCAGGAGCTCCTGCTCCACCCTGCCAACGTTCACTGGGATCTGTGCCCAGGGATGGAGAGAGCAGGGCGGCCACCAGTCACCCCGGAGGTCTGGCAGACTGGTGGTGACTGGGAGGGCCCTGGCCTATCGCCAGCTCCTCTAATGGTCTGAATTCACTCATTTCCTTACGGCGCAGGTAGGCGAGGAGCCCAAGTAAATGGCTGGGGCAGAGCATGCACAGCCCGTTAATGCAGGCAGGTTGTAAAATTACAGGCTAGCTTTTAAGAACCGCCTGGCCTCTCCAATTATATTATTTCAAATAGTAATTTCCTAATTAACAATTTTTGCCCTTTGAAGTCTTGCACTGGCAAATTATTATTTTTTCTTTTCTTTTCTGATGACAGGGAGATTATTTATCCCATTTCTTCCCCTTAAAGATCCATTTTATGTTCCAGTGAACAATGGTAAGAGCAGAACAATAGAAGCAAAACCACAAAGTTACCCCCTACCCAGATCAGAGAGAAATATGTCTTTGACACCTGCTGGCAATTAATCCTCGGCATGCATGAATTTACAATTAGTAGCGCTCTGGTAATGGGATTGAGGTGTGATTCCAGCTGTCATTAACGCTGCCCTGGCCGCCCCGGGCCACTGGAAGTGCCCAAATCCTGGACGGTAAGATGGTGAATGAACGAAATTTATTTTTCTCCTATCTTCCTATTTATTTTACAGCATCCAAGGAGGAACTTCTCTCCCCAGTAACCTTTCAGGGTCCCCTTTTGGCATGCGCCAGGTCTGGACCCCTTATCTAAGATTCCCCCACCTTCACTGCCAACTTTCCTGCTCAAGCAGACAAAAGCAGCTTTGAGTGCAGCATTTTGCTGGAATGTAACAATAACTTGATTTTGCCCATCTGAGAATGTTTCCGTGCTATATGAAATGAGTCAGCTGTAGAAAACTGAAAAGAAATATTGTATAGAAATGTTGTAAGGAATGCTGCTCTTTGAAGCACTCGATGACATTTGAAAGCCATCTAGTGCTTTAGAGGACAGTACTTTGTGAAGTATTTCATGCAGTAATAGCTCTAAAGTTCCTTTGAAATATTTCTTGTTTGCCATTAAATCCTGGAATTTTGGAAATTAATAGTTAGAGGAGCTTTGATGCAAAAATCTCTGAATAAAACAAATTCTGAAGGCTATTTTCACACTAAGTTACATTAAAACTTCC